GGCTAATTGGTTAATTGGACATGTGGACAACAACTAAGGTTAATTAGCCACTTGTCCAATTAGCCATATGTCCAATTAGACATGAGGGCTAGGGCTAATAATTTTTCATTGGACTTACCGTATAACTAAAAGACCCTCCGCGCAATCAGAATATACGTAGCACGTAGAATGACGAAATAGACAAATTAAGGCAACTCCGTTTGACAATATATAGTGGTCCAAATTGAAAAAATTTGTTTCTGCTTTCATCATGAATTTTTTTATAAAATTACTAGGTAAAATGCTACAAGAATTTACATAATCTTATGTGACTAGGGATTGGAACCTCTTAACCGCACAAAAATTTGGTTTATAGTGCCGGGCCGAAATTATGTTTATTATGAACCAGGACAATTTTAATGCCAGCTGATTAAACGGTTAATACGGTTAAACGATTAAACGGTTAATATTAAGAAAATTTTAGGCGGTTCCGATTCCTATATTCTACGGACCTTCAGTAATACTGCATAAATTTATATAAATTAGTATATAAATGACTTTACGCTTACATCAAACAATTACATAATATTATTGTCATTTATGTAATGTTCGTAACTTCGAAGCTCATGATGTTTATTTCATCCCAAGACAAGTAAAATAATGACAAATTATTTACAAAAGTTGTTAGAAATACAGTACATTACGCTTGCGAATCAGATAGTAATTGATTATCCAATCTTTTCGGTGTTAAAAAATTTATATACAGTATAATGATAAAATATAAAAATCAATTTTATTACATACTTGAAATTAATAATAGTAAATAATAAATCCTAGTTTGTTGAATGCATCAAATTTTACAAATTTGAAATCATATATAGTAAACACACTTTTTTTTTGCGATTAATTTATCATATACATCTTTATGACAGCGGCATTATTTACCATCTACTTCCAAAATCACACATACTATCATAAAAATTGCCTGATTTATTTTATACACAGCCAGGAATAAATTGATTTACGTTTCCATTTTAAAGAAAAAATAAAGCTATCAAATGCTCTAGCATGATGCGCCCAATTACCAACCTTTCCAAGAGAATTATAACCACAAAGTATCTCGTTTGTGCTATTGATTTTTACAATAACAACAGTATCTAATACATTATTGCGTGAAATGTTTCACCAATAAATTTGAATCTACTGCCTCTAGTAAAAGTTTAAATTCACATGGAATTTTTGTAATATCATAAAATTACTGAGCACTGACCGATCTATGAAGAAATTTTTGCCATATTCTGTAATGTGATCATGAATGATGTCAATAGGAAGATTGCATGTCCGATAGTTTTTTATAAACTTGAAATACTTCTCAGTTTTGTTCCTAATTGATTCATAGATGTGTATATATTTCATAATACCACTCTTTAGGATTCATTTCCCATTCCAAGTTCTTTACCAAACCATGGACCTTGTGATATTTGACCAAACTAGATATACCAGATCCCACATGATCCATTGAGCATACAGCACTTCTTAAGGTTTATATTTTTTAAAGAGAAAGTAAGGCTATTAACTGTAGTAGCATATACGCCACCCTCGTCAAAAATTTCCCATACACGGGGATTATAACCGCCAAGTATTTCATTTGTATTATTAACTTTAAACCGATCACAGTACCAGATACACCATCGCATAGTTTATGAAAGATATCACCTGTAAAACCATCTCTACAACCTCTAAGTAGTAACTTAAATTCGTATGGAATTTCTGAATCATCATAAATTTTTGGACTTTGCTGCATTTTGCAGTGTAATAATAGAAGATGGTGTGAAAACCGATATTTTTCGAGAAGGAGATTGAGCTGTTTCTTTAAAATAATAACATCCTACGTATTTTCTTCAAGAATATTACGATAAGGTTTAATGTTCTTTAAGTCATCTCTACCAAGTATTTGAAGGTATTTAAGATGAGGAATGCAATGCTGAAGGGATAGCTTTTAAAAAATTAAATTTTCATTAACCCATTCTTTAAAATTTAGGGATAGTTTGGGTCTTATCCTTTTCCTGTAAAATGAATTTATCTAACTTGTTCATTTGTAAATCATCATGTTCAAAAAAGCAACTAAAGCTTTCTCTGAAAGAGAGGTAAATCTTCTGGATCAAAATCATGTTTGGATATTACAATAATATCATTGCAAATTGTGTAAAGCTTTAAAGCTTTCGTTATAAAAACTACTCGATAAATGCGAGAAAAATTTTAACCCGGGTGCCTTGTTATTAATGAGGCAAATTGAAAACTTTCAATTAATTCTGTAAGTTTGAATTCATTAATAATTATAAAGATATGATGCTTCAATTGTTCAAAAGAAAAAATGCAGCTATAGATATTATTTTTTTAATAGCATTTTTTAATTTCTGCATAAATATAATGAATATTGGTACAAAATAATTGAATGTGCTTTGAAAAATTGGACATTTGGCTGCTTTCCAGCTACATTTACTCATTAAAATCATATTCATTTTCAAAACTTGTAAAAAGCTTAGAGAAATTGATCACACCATTTTGTCGTGATAAACTTACGTATAAAAACCATATCTTTTGTTATACAAAAGATTAAATTGTAATTTTCATATAACGATAGGAATTTAATGCTAACAAATACTTCTTAGTTTTGTCAAGCTATAGTTTGTTACACGACAAATAAGCTACTTGGTAAGCAGGTATTTACTAGGAATCAAACCTGATGTAAGTCCAGAAATGATAAAAATGCCGAATTAGATTTAAATATTTTTTACAACATAAATTTATTGTTCTGTGTCACTTTTAATTATAATTAACATTGGTTAATTGTAAATCTGAAAATAATATATGTCACTTTGTACAATTTTTTTATTATTTATTCAAAAAAGAACCAACAAATTTATAAGGTTTATTTAATGAAAAAGTTTTTTTAAAAAAAATTAGACTTCCCAAAACTGATCCTGTCAAAATCGATAACCTGTCAAATTTGATAACTTCTCAATACTAATACAAAATCTATTCACCATTCATATCGGTTTTGGGAGGTTTAACAGTAACTAATTCTGTAATTCCGTGAACGAATTATAATGTTTTTTGTAAATTTTTAATTTTATCCATTTTTATAAACTTGGAATACTTCATATTCATCTGCAGTAAATTGGCCATGTACGTTTCTGATTAACTTTTTGTATCCATGTGGTTTTGGACCCCAGTTATGACAATAAGCTCTATCTTTAGAATTAATTCCAAGGTCATAACCACTAAACCATGGACCTTGCTTTATGTCGCCACACCAAATTGCCCTTGACATATCTTTTACTCGACTAAGAACAGATTCATTTAAGTTTTCATATTTTAAAGAGAAAATAAAGCTATCAGATGTTGCTACATATTCGTAATTATTATTACCAACTTTCCAGATAAGAGGATTGTAACCACCAAGTATTTCGTTCGTACTAACAACCTTTATAACAACCACAGTACCAGGTATGTTATCACATAGTCTATGAAATACTTCACCTGTGAACCCATCCCTACTGCCTCTAAGTAAAAGTTTAAATTCATATGGAATTTCTGTAGTATTATAAATTGTTGAACGTCGGTCGATCCAGGATGAAATTTCTGCTGCATGCTCTAATGTGATTATAGAAGAAAACGATGTAATTATAGATACTTCTCGAAGAGGAAGTTGTACTGTTGCTTTTTTACGAGATGGTAAAATTAGAGAAGAGACAGAAATATCTGGATCTATAGATCTCGAAATAATATCATCCCATGCATTCTCTTCAAGAATTTTACGATAAGGTTTAATTTTCTTTAATACTTCTTTACCAGGAATTTGAAAATATCTAATATGAGGGAGACAGTGCTGAAGTGTAGACTTTAAAGATTTAAAATTCTCATTAGTCCACTCTTCGAGGTTAGATGGTAGATCTGGAGTTTTCGCTTTTCCCCATAAAATTACTTTATCCCAAATTTCTAATTCTTCCATTTGTAAATTATCGTCTTTTAAAAGAGCAACTAAAGCGTTTTCTTGAAGATTGGTAAAATTATCAGAATCAAAAATTATGCTTGGTTGTTTTGCAATAATGGCATTGCAAAATTGTTGCAAAGGTTTAAAGTTTTCATCAAGAAAGCTTGTTTGATAGACACGAAAAAAATTCAAACGGAGCCAAGATGCATTATTATCAATAAGAAAAGCCTGAAAATGATTAACTAGTTCTAAAAGCATGAATTCATTAAAAATAATCAATAAATTAAATAGAGATGAAGTATCGAGATTTTCTGAAGAAACTGTGCCACCATAAATGTATCTATATAGTGAATATAAAATATTTAGTAATAAAAATATTATTATAATAAAATACCGTAATATTATAATATAACTTACTTGATGGCAATATTAAATACTTCTATAGAAACATGAGGTAAATTAATTTCAATTACATTGTTTTTCTTAATCGTATTTTCTAATTTCTGGCGAAAGTAAAGTGAACGTTGATACAAGATTATTGAATGCGCTTTAACAAGATGAGTATTCGGTTGTTCTCCAACTTCAATTATTACATCATAACTATATTCATTCTCAAGAAGCTGAGTAAAGTCTTGTGAAAGTTGTTCATAAAATTTTAAAGCCATTATACTGTAAGAAATTGTGTATTGTTATACGAGTATATTTATATCAGTATACGTAGTAATAAAATGACGAAATAGGCAACTCCCGTTTGACCTGGGTTAAATCACCTGACAATACCCTAAATATCATGCTTTCAACTTCAATGTAAGGTCATATATTTTCAATAATGAAATACTAAGAAGTAAGATATTTTTTGATGATATATTATATTATCATATATACTGAATTTATAGATTACTTCAACACAAATTATGTTAATAATTTTATTCGAAATCAAAAATCAGATCATTAAGGTAACGATAAATAAATAAATTGGACTCATTAAGTGTGGCACGAAATTAGGAACATTATGTAACTATAGAACCATTGTAAAATCTGGAATTAGATACTCCATAAAAAAAAAAACAACTAAATATAGTAGATAATTGTTCGAGTAATCTATCCTAGTTCAACGAACTCAGTTATTTGTATCTCAAGAAAAAAGCAGGTGAATGTCTCAAAGATCTTGATCCATATAAGATATTATGTATAATGGTCATTAAAGAAGCAAATAGATAATGAACTCGTCGGGGAAAAGTGCATTTACGGAGGATATAATTATAAGCGCACTTAAAAAAATCACGAAAAGTGCACTTATAGAGATTTGACTGTATTGCTTACGTACGTTGAGAAAGTGGGGACTTAAAGGGTTTAAAAGAAAACTATCTATCTAACTAGCAAACACCGAACAATCAGATTAATCAGCTCAAGACTCTTGATACCTTGAGGTGGAAGGCTGAAAGAGGCGTGGAAAGACTTGGTCCGAGATTCAAGGCTTTCGAGTCTTGCTGCGGTGTATTTGGAGACCAATATAAGCATCTTTTCATAGTATACTGGTATGGGTTATGTTAAATACTTCTATTTATCACTAAAAAAAAAGTAATGTTAAATCTTGTAGCCGGTGCGATGGGTCTTCAGTATTCGATTTCAATCGTTAAGATTCTTAACGATTGTCACGTGGTCACGTGGTGACGAAGTTGAATTTACGATATTTTCGATTATCGACGTAATAAGTGAACAATGGTAAGGATGGCGAAATTAATTTAGAGTTTAAATATTTTTATATAAAAGGGGTTTGATTACTAAGAGATGCCTTTCTCTTTTTACTTTTATGAAGCAAGAATACTGGGTTTACGAATATCACGGGGACGAGAAAATGCGAAAAGATGGTTTTTATTATGAACAATTTTATGTTCAAAGGAAAGTATTTTATTTAGAGAACAATTTCTACTAATATGCTTTCGAAGTTAAGAACTCATCTCTTTTCGATTTTATTAAGCCAAAAAGATAAGTCTTAAATACTTTTCGACCTTTATTGCACTGCGTACATGAATGTTGCATATTACTAATTTATATTATCGTACTATATCTTTTAGTTTTTAATCGTATAAATTCACAAGAAGATAGTCGATATATACGAATTTGTACCTGCTTAGGCATATAGTACAAATTCGAACCTGACTTGGTTGGTACAAATTTGAACCAAAGTATGAAATTTCTATTTTTGGTAGTGGTACTCTTTTCGGGACACTTCAAGAACACGGAACCCAGTGATCATCACATCACATGCATGACGTCATTTGTTTACCAGCACTAAAAAATTAGCCTAAACTAACCAATCACCTAACTCTAACACTAACCCTAACTACCCTAACTTAGGCCGAACACTTAATCATGTGATGTGATGATCACGAAAATATCACTGGGTTCCTTGTTCTTGAAACTACCACTCTTTTCTTCCTAACTTTGTAATGAAAACAACACTAACAACATAATAATTATAACAATAAAATAGAAATAAAATAAAAGAGAAGAAAAAAAATTTATGAATCGTAGACGCCTGGGCCCTTCACAACGTATGTTAACTTTATGTCGATTCGCCAATCCGACATTTTTACCATCCAAAAGTTGAAATTATTAGATCTAGCAAAAGTTACGCAATAATAAATTATTCACGCCTTTTCTTTACTAAAACAAAAAGTATATATCGAAAAAATTAAATGATTTTCATACATAAATGTAAAAAAATATATTCATGGACTATGAAATGAAAAGATTAAGTAAATACAAAAGATGAATAATAAAAAAAGATGCATGCAAAAAACTCTATAATAAAGGCACTATAAAAGGAGGGATAAAATCAGGCATATACAGACATACACAAATCTACGAATTTTTAACTTCTTCGATCAATGTATCAACTGTATCAGGATTAGCTAAAGTACTTAAGTCACCTAAGGAGTCGGTTTGACCTTCCACAATTTTTCTCAAAATACGTCTCATTATTTTTCCACTTCTAGTCTTTGGTAGATCATTGACAATATAAACTTTTTCTGGTGCAGCAAAAGGGCCAATATATTTACGTACTTGCAAGGTTAAATCTTTTACATCAGTATTATTACTATTTGGTTTCAAAGTAACAAAAGCTTGCACACATTGTCCTTTTATTTCATTAGATACACCAATAGCTGCAGCTTCAGCAGTCATGGGATGCATTATTAAAGCGGATTCGATTTCTGAAGTTGATAATCTGTGACCCGATACATTAATAACATCATCCACACGTCCACGAATCCAATAATATCCATCATGATCTCGGCCAGCACCGTCACCTGTAAAGTAATAACCTTTATAGGGTCTCATATAAGTATCAAGATATCGATTGTGATTATTATAAATAGTGCGTGCCATTGATGGCCAAGGTCGGCGTATGGCCAAAACACCTTCTGCTTCGGTTGTTTCTATCTCTTCACCGGTATCCGGATTCAGTATTGCAAGGTCAATACCAAAGAAAGGAAAGGTAGCCGAACCAGGTTTTGTTGCAGTGGCTCCAGGAAAAGGTGTCACAGTGACCGACCCAGTTTCGGTCTGCCAATAAGTGTCAATCACCGAACAAACATTTCGACCGACAACCTCATTATACCATTCCCAAGTATCAGGATTGATAGGTTCACCAGCTGTACCGATGACTCTTAAACTTGAAAGATCATGAGGATCTACGTATTCACGGCCGAATTTACGTAATAAACGAATAGCAGTTGGTGCGGTATAAAATTGTGTAATCTTATGCTTGGCAACAACTTCCCAATATCGGCTTGGAGTAGGATATATAGGAGTTGATCCAAATAATACTGCAGTACCGCCATTTGCCAAAGGACCATAGATAATACAATTATGACCGGTTATCCAACCAATATCAGCCATACAACCCATGATATCACCTTCATGATAATCAAAAACATATTTAAGAGTAGCAGCAGCATTTAATAAGTAACCTCCGGTAGTGTGGATGACACCTTTTGGTTTACCAGTAGAACCAGAAGTATACATTATGAAAAGAGGATCTTCAGCATTGACAATTTCAGGTGGACAATAGGGACGTTGTTTTTCAAGTTCATCATGCCACCATACGTCACGAGGGGAGGAGAACGGAACTGAAGATCCAGTACAGCGAAATACAAAAACGTGTTCGACTCCAGGGCATTCTACTAAAGCCTCATCAATAATCTTTTTAGTATGAATAGTTCTACCACCGCGACAGCTTTCATCAGCAGTTATAACAATTTTACTAGAAGCATCTAGTATACGATCACGTAAAGAACCTGGAGAGAAACCGGCAAATACTACGGAATGCA